TTTTACATTTTATATTCTTGCATTTTTATCTCTATTTTTGTACATTTATTCAAATTCAATATGGTTGTAATAATTATTTAGATTTAATTTCTTGCAATTCCTTATTTGTAATTTGTACACCTCCTCCCTTAAATGATGTAATAACTTAGTATTTTTTATTTTCTGCAATTTAAATAATTTATATACAAATGCTAGTAATTAGGGTTTTGTATGGAAAGATTAAAACCAACAAACAGAAAACCCTAATCAAGACAAATCAAACATGTAAATCAATACACTTGCACACTTACACCCTTAGACTAAATCCACTTTGTTGCCTTACAAAAAGACCATATTATGCATGTGAGGTATCTTAGCAAAAAAAAATACAAGATCATAGTCCCTCGATGACGCTATCCATGTTGCCTTTCAAAATGATCTTAGTCCCTGAGAAAAATACTAAGATATCTTACAACATTGCTAATCATGGTTATACGATGATCCTTGCCCGTCCCTTTTACATCTAAAGATAGGGTTACTTACCAAATCAATGGTAAGATAACAATGTCAAAGGAAAGAGGAAATAAACATGAAAGACTTTTGAGTAGGTAGATTATTCCTAGTTACTTGCTCAATTTCAAAACCAAAACATCCTTGCTATTTTTAAAACACCAACACTTTCAAAACACCTTTCAAACTTGAAAATATTTTCAAAAGATTAACACTTTGTATAGATTCTTACGAACGAGAATCATTACAAAGTTTTCCTAAACGATGACGCATTTATAAAATACTTTCAAAAACCACACAAAGCACATTTTCAAACAAAAGCAAGTGATCTAGCAAGTAACTAAGAGCCCATAGAAAACCATGGATGAAAAGGGTGCTAATACATTCCCTTTTCATAATCTACCCCCGAACTCAAGAAAACATCTCAAAGGTCTTTCCTGTTCTTTTCAACCTTTCCTTTTGGATAAAAGAAAATTCGGTGGCGACTCTTGCTAACCGCAACATTTGCGATCAAACGCAAAATAACCAAGTCAGTTCCGCGTTACACACGCCAATGAGGAGGAGGAGAGATGACTTTTCGTTATGCCATATCTCAGTAAATGCCATGGTTGATGATATTGTACCTAGAAGAACAAAGAATTGCAAGACCTGAGTCCTGAAGCACACTAAGGAACCACTCTTCTTGAGGTTGAACAAGCTTATGAATGGTTAATTGATTTCAAACACTTGAGTTCTTCTTGAAAATAAAATACAACATTCTCAGTCGAATTGAATTTGGTTAAAATATAAAAATAAGTTTTATTAAGAAATATACCTCTTCGTCCCAAATATGTGGAGCCACATGATCTCCAAAATATATCAGCAATGACGTGTCAGAAGGACCTCTTAGATAAGGGTCTACAAGTGGTGGGTCTGCATCACATGTAGTTGGAGCCTCCTCTTTCTGGCTTACACAAGTCTGAGATGATGACCCTTGTGAAAGTCGGCTCCTAGAAGTCGATGCTTCCTTGTCGTGAGGCATAGGGAAGACTCCCCCATACCTTTGGCCTGATCATGCATAAGAGCCATCTCACAGCGAGCAGACGCGGTAAGGATTTCATGGTCGTGTCTCATCTTATCGACACGATTAGAGTTTCCAGCCATTTTCCTTGAAAAAAAATAAGAAAATAGATTAGTGCATCAGGATGGAAATAATTCAGATATGCATCTCCAAAAACCAGAAATGATCCATTTCGAAGATGAATCCCCGAAAAGCTTTGTGTTCTGCTTCAATGGCAGAAACATCTCCTACAATTACCCTAACCACCCAAAAATCATCCCAATCATTCAAATCATATAAACAACTCCTACACATTACCTATTTCGAATGCTAATAGAACATAATGTATTAAAACTAACCCATTTGACCTAATACATTGATCAAAATTAAAAATGAGCTAAATGAGTAACTTACTCTAAAAAGTGTCGATGAAGGAACAAAGTAGATTTGAAAAATGTTAGAGAAGAAACAAGCTTGACTGGAACAAGTTTGATTGGAACAAAATAGGTTGACTGGAACAAAGTGTTGAAGGGAATAAAAAAGGAAATTTCCAGAAAATAATGTCTCTACAATGAAGAATGAGAAGGAGGATGAGGTATGACGTCGTGAGCCTGGGAGAAGGTGACAAAGTGTAAAGAGATTTACATTGGGAATTGCTTATTACACCCTATATAGTTCAAAAGAACTCTTTGATAAACTGGAATTTACCCTTTGTTTCTAGAAATATATTTCTGAACACACCCTTTGCATCACACAAAAGCGAGAAAATTTGGTGCCACCCTAGAGTCAAATTAAAAAATATTCCGGAGAATGTGATATAATAAATTACTTCATAACCATTACAAGAATAATTCCACATATATAACTCCGATAAAATTGTGCGGGAAATTGAAATCATGTCACTTTTGCATGTCAGATTATTCTAGTGATGCATCTCCAGAAAAATCAAAAGTGAAATTGCTAAAAAGAAAAACATTTATGATCAAATTCATTTGTCATATTTTCTTTAAACCCTCTCCAAAAAACTCTTCCATTCTTAATCAAGTTGTTCACTCCAAATCTCCATTATCGTGTTTCATCAAATCAAAAGGAGCCAAAGGAAATGGAATTTAAGGTATAGTTCATTCATTTCAACCTGCATTCCTCACATTAATTTAATTTTGAAACAAAAAAGGTCACACTTTTATCGGAAGTGTAGTTATGGAATTTCTATGAACCCGTTTGATGACAACACAAAACTCCACATCAAATAGGAATTGAGGAAGATTGCATTTCCAGAGACCATAGGCTTGAAACTACCCTCTCAATCGGTAAAAACAAAAGGAGCACCTAAGGAGGTTAAACCTAAATCGAGTGACAATTCAACAATGAGGAGTCCATCATATTTTGAACATGTTGATAAACTTTTTCCCGATTCACCGACTCTGAAAATCACAGGAAAAGTATTTTCAAAGGAACTTGCATTAGCAAACCACATTCTACACCCCTCCACCAAATATCATTCATTGAGGAGATGTTGGTTTTTATGCACAATTACATTGAATAGATCGTCAATGTCAAGGGTGATGATAAATGTGGTTTTCAGGATGTTTATGCTTTACTCGATAAAGGGGACGAGGATCACACACTTATCTGCCATACTCTTATCCAAGAGTAAAGGAGAAATAAAGAATTATACACATAGGTGTTCGAGAATAAAGAGAAAGTTGAAGAAATTTATCACTTTCTTATACCTTGCATTAATGGACTTGTATCGGAGGATAAATGAACGTGATTCCCTAAGATGGGTCATCTATAGTAAGTACATATGAGAGAGTGTGTATTGATTTTACAAGATACGATTTCTCGAAAACTTTTTCCCCGCTGTGCATTGCTCCACCACCAAATCCCAATAATCATATCATATGTGTTGGGTGGATTTCAAATCCGCGACATTTTATTTAAGTGTATTTGAAATCAGGATGTCCTATACCACTTACATCACCGAATGAACAACTCATTATACAATCAAACCCAAGAATTGATAAAACCAATTTATTAAAAGCATGCAAGAGTGCACTAAATTGAGCAAGATTGAGATAAAAAAGTCAAAGGGGGTACCACTTGTAGATTTGATCAGCGACAATTATTTCGGTTTATTTAAGCAATTATTTATCATTTTATTGTAAGTGACATTTTATTAATGTGTTATGGTGTCTCATATATACATTTTGTAGTTTGTCAAATAAATTATGCATTCAATATAAGTTTCTACCCGTTCTACTGTTTGCTATGCCAAGAAAGATTTCAGAATTACATCTCTGGAATAAAGGAATAAAAGGTGGTTCTGGAGTTATATTTCCATAACATTTTATGTCACAAAATAGGATTTGCAAGGTCCATGTTAGCCTCCAACTACTATAAATAAGCTCACATAACATATTGTATCATACCAAAAACTAGAATGAACATCATTTGGCATGTTGAAAATGTTCACTTTACCGACAATACACCATCAAGATGATTTAAGATCACAGAGTATACCCCTTTTGAAGATATGTAACACACACTGCAAAGCCTTCTACCATATTGCGACAATCACAAAATTGTGAAGATCGAGTATCACTCGTCACCCTTTGACAAAGAAGGGAAGCTTAAATTTAACAAGCATGAGTTGAAGACGACCACTGATTTACGGGCTATGTGGAGAATCTTCTTCTGTTTAGAATCAAAAGTTTGATCGAGCTGGATACGACTGTTTTAAGATCAATCGATGATATTATCAAGATGTTATAATGTCCACCTGGATATTGAAATGTAATGTTTGATCTATGTTAAAACCCATTATGTATTGCTGATTTTATGATATCAATGGTGTTTTAATTTTTTTCAAGTTGGTGTTTTTCAATTATGTTTTTCTTCCTTCTACTACACAAAATTCTAGAAATAGACACCCGACATTATTTCAGACATGCATCTCCGAAATAATGGGTGTTTCAGTAAACATTTGGTGCGTCCGAAAATACATCTCCAAAATCTAGAAGTATTTTAGTATTTTCGCACAATACACTAGAAAACTATGAGTGCATTAAGAAATTTTCATTCCTCATCTAATTTGTTTTTTTTAGTTTCAGTCCAATACCACACACCTAAAGATATTATTATTACATCCTATATATCTTAGAAACATCCTATGTAATTCTTAAAAAAGTCTTTATCTTTTTAAAGATATATTTTTAAACACATATTTTTTGTGTTAAACTTCAATTTATTTCATAAATACATATTCAAAAATATATAAAAGATGCATTTCCAAAATTTATACAAAATCATATATAATTCCCCACACCTAAATTCAATAAAACCCACGGGCTTACCGAATAAAACCCAACAAAAAAAGCGCGTATTATATATTACAACAAAAACCCCAAACCCTAGTTTCTCGACACCCATTCCCACCTCCATTTTGCCGCCGGTAGGTAGTTTCGTCGGAATGGGTAGGGTTATCAGGGCACAACGTAAAGGTGCGGGATCAATCTTCAAATCCCACACCCACCACCGTAAAGGCCCCGCCAGATTCCGCAGTCTCGATTTCGGTGAAAGAAACGGCTACTTAAAGGGAGTAATCACCGACATCATCCACGACCCAGGTCGCGGTGCACCTCTTGCCAAGGTCACTTTCCGTCACCCGTTTAGGTATAAGAAACAGAACGAGCTTTTTGTTGCTGCTGAAGGATTATACACTGGGCAGTTTATTTATTGCGGGAAGAAAGCTACGCTTGTTGTTGGTAATGTTTTGCCGGTTAGGTCTATTCCTGAAGGAGCTGTGATTTGTAACGTTGAACACCATGTTGGTGATCGTGGTGCTTTTGCTAGGTGTTCTGGGGATTACGCTATTGTTATTAGTCATAATCCTGATAATGATACATCTAGGTTTGTTTTATCTCTGTTACATTTTCATTTTTTTAATTGAATACTAAGAACAACTGAACAAGTAAGAAAGTATTCCCTATTAACGTTGTTATGAGAATTTTCTTGATATTGAGTGTTAATATTTCCTGACAGGGTTAAGCTTCCATCTGGGGCCAAAAAGATTATTCCAAGTGGGTGCAGGGCTATGATTGGGCAAGTTGCGGGTGGAGGAAGGACAGAGAAGCCACTTCTTAAGGCTGGTAATGCTTACCATAAATTTAGAGTCAAGAGGAATTGTTGGCCTAAGGTTCGTGGTGTGGCTATGAATCCGGTTGAACATCCTCACGGAGGAGGTAACCACCAGCATATTGGACATGCTAGTACCGTTAGACGGGATGCTCCTCCTGGGCAAAAGGTTGGTCTCATTGCTGCTAAGAGGACTGGTCGGCTTAGGGGACAAGCTGCTGCTACTGCAGCTAAGGCTGACTGATAATTGAAGAGATTCTTAGGGTTTTGTTTTTGGTTGTAAGATTTTTAAATTTTGTTAGTTTTTCTGTTTGTTCTAAATTGGTTGGGTATTGTTTTCGGAACCTTTTGCCCCATTTCTGTGGGAATTGTTTTTGAGTAGTGAACATTTCTCTAGGTCTCCTTATTGTTTAAGAATTGTTTTCAGTTTAGCGTTTAGCTTAGTTGTGCTACTAGTTCCTTAACAAGCTTCATTAACAAGCTTCATTAACAAGCTTCATTAAAGCTTAGTCGAAATGTGCAACATCCATTAAATACATACTTATCAACATCATGCTTCTACAAAGCTTTTATTGCTTTGTGAATTGCTATTGCAACTTTTGATGTAACCATTGCTATTCTCTACATCTATTTGGTCTAATTAGCTTATCTCATTTAAGCCAACGAAAAAACATTAAATCTACGTGTTTGCGTTCTTTGCAATCGATTCTTGTTGCTGGATTTCAAAAAGTTTTGAATGTTTTTTCCTACTTGGACAAAGATTTTATGTTAGTGTCTTTGCAGAATGACATGGCGGTGGTAACAGCGTAAATTCCCTAACCATATGTAACTCTAACCATTCATCGTGTTAACTCCTTCTCAGGGCATTACTTCTCTCATCTTAACGGTGGGGAACCAACTATAAATTTTTTTTAATGATGATTATCTAATAAGGGTATTCATTCGGACAAGGGTCGGATGTTTTTTTAGTTTGGACAAAAACCAAATAATGAAATTCAATATTAATTGATTTGGACATCAGATTTTAAAAAATAGATATTCAATTTCAAGTAAAAAAAAATGAAATACCACTTGTGACAATCTCAATCTATATAAAAAACAAAAAAAAAATATAAGAGTTTATATTATTATAGAAAATAAGTTGATGTAAATTATATATTTTTTAAAAATATTTTCTCATATTTGTTTCTAATGTATCCGATCAATTTAACTCAAATCAATCCTGGTTTGGATTGGTTTGAGTTTTATTGAAAAAATATGAAAATTCAATTCAAATATATGGTAATTGCTATTAAACCAAATATATAATAGAATCCATCAGACATGTGTATAATTTTTATAATTATTTATAATTTTAATTTTATAATTTCTATTAACAAATAGTATAAAATAAAATATATTATACACAAAAAAACATGTAGGTTTAATAACAAATTAAAATAAATCATTAAACATATGATCTCTAATATCTATTCAATTTAAGTAAATATTTTGTTGGTCCGTCAAAGAAATAGGTTCGGCCCTCGGGCATACCTATAATTTTTAAATTCTTATGTATTTTAAATTTATGTATGCTATTGATATTATATCATTTTATCATCTATTATAAAAATAAATTTAAACACAATTAAGTTTTATATCAAATCTCTTATAAATTTTGGACAAATAACAAATGCTAGAAAATTTAAAGGAAAAAATTCTTGAAAAATGGAATGTGATAAGTAAATTGTAAAAAATAAAATAAAATTGAATTTGATAAGTAAATTTATACCATAATTTCATCCTTATTTTTTATCATTGTTCTTGTTGCGACTCTTTTAAATAATAAATTTAACTTTTTAATTTATTTATAAAATGTTAAGTGAAAGATCAATTATTTATAAACTTACATTTTTGTCGGTCCATCGGAAAAATAGGTTCAGCTCATCGAGCATCTCTATAATTTTTAAATTTTTCTGTATCGTAAATTTATAGATGCTATTGATAGTGTATGATTTTATCGTCTAATAAAAAAATAAATTTAAACACAATTAAGTTTTATAACAAATATCTGATAAATCTTGGACAAATAATAATGGTCGGAAAACTTAAAGGAAAAAGTTGTTGAAAAATAGAATGTGATAAATAAATGATAAAAAATTAAATTAAATTAAATTGAATTTAGTAAATAAATTAATTAATTAACGTTTTAAATTTATATTATGATTTCATCCTTATTTTTTATCCTGATTCTTGTTGCGACTCTCTCAAATAACAAATTTTACTTTTTAATTTATTTATAAAAAGATAAGTAAAAGATCAATAAGTAAAAACACATTAATGATTTTTTTTTCATTTTTAACTTCTAAGAATTATTTTGACAATATACATAAATAATAAATAATAATAATAATAATAATAATAAATATTTTTTAATTTTATAATAGTAGACATTGATTTTATAATCAATTTAAAATGTGTAAATTTTTTTATTATTAAATACATAAAATATACTCCTATTTATTTGAATATTGAAACAACTATATTTCAATATTGATTTTTATTAAATATATAAAATATACTTTTATTTATTTAAACATTAAAATTTAAATATCATTTATTATCATTCAATTATTGCTCTTTTTAGAAAATAATATTAAAAATTGAATCAAAAGATTCTTATTTTCATTCAATTAAAAAATAATATGTTTTTGAAGATTAAACTAATTGATCTAAAGAATAATGAAAAATATTAAATATAAATGGGATAGGTAAGAGATATGATTATTGGTCTCCAAAAAATTTCCTACCGTTTCTAATGTGGTGCATCTTAAAATACAATATTATATTAAATTAAAATAACTTTTTACTTTTAATTTATTTCCAACACAATCTCAAAAACTGCTAATTAAAATTAAAATAAAAATAAACTCTATTAATTAATGTTAAGATTAAAATTAAAATAAACTCTATTAATTATTATTTATTATAAATAACCATTTACAATTCAAAATTAAGTTTTAATTAATTTATTGAATCAATTTTTATAGAACTAAAATTATCTTGTCAAATTTGTATTGTCTAGTATTATTTTAATTATTATTATATCTATATTTATTAATCAATATACATGCATTTTAATTACAATTTCTATATTTAATAATCTTTATAATTTAATATAAGTTTTTTATTATTATCATTTATTCTAAGTATTATTTCTATATCAATAGATTTTTTGAATTTTTTTTACAATAATTAGGTATTGAAATTTTTTCCCGCAAATAACCATGTTTCGGAGAAAATTACGCAAATAACTATATTTCAGAAAACCTCACAAGGGAGAAGCCAAGTGAGATGGCGCATGCACTGACCCATTTGCCATAAGCGCCATCTCACTTGGCGCATGCACTCTATTTTAGTCAAGTGAGATAGCGCATGCATTCTAAAAGTGAGAGGAGATGCCATCTCACTTGGTTCCTAGGGCAAAATGAATTTTTTATAAATAATTCCTCTGTTTCTCCGTCATTCTTCACACTTTCTCGCATTGTCTTCTTATTTTTTTCTCTGTTATTTGCGTCATGACATCGCCCATGGTTTTTATCAGAGATGGTTACGTTATTTTCTCGGCCACCAAACCTCCGATGAAAATGAAATTTTGGCACATTCACTCCATGGAGCGTCTGAAGAGATAGTTGATGCGATGGCTAGAGGGAGACATCAAGGATGGGGAACAAATTAGAAGGATTTAGCGAAGAAGAATAGTCACCCCACTTGCTACAGGAAGACCTAATTTTTGGTTGGAGGAAGTCAAAACAGACAGCGACGTAATGTTGATGATGCATGAGTCAGATGAAATTGTTTTAACAGTTGTAATTTCATAGACGGTTTATCGTGTTTTATTTGTTATTTGCGCAAGGTTTGTTGTAACAAATGCTCTTAATGAAAAACCGTAATGTTTATAACTTAAAAAAGTAAAGATGTTATGTAATACAATTTTTATGTCGTTGAGCTAGTAGCCCTAGTCGGACAATTTTTGTGATTGTGTCCGACCTGACGACATAAACCACACTTTCTTTCCAACTTGTCAAGGGAGTCCATTTCAGTTGTGATGCGCTTGCTTTTGGAACGATCCTTTTTATTCCTTCGCATTTGGTCATTGTGCCATACTATTTCGCCATTGTATGCAAACCAATAATCAGGTTTTGCTACCAAAGGGAAACTGTTGTTGTATACGTTGAGCAAGGTTTCAGACTTGTAAATGGGAGAGAGAAGTTGTAATGCGTCTTGATGAGTATAGGCACAACAATGACATGAGAGCAAGGCATACGAAAGGCTTGAAACTTGCCACAATCGTACCAACGAGAAGGTAGTATAACCCTATACTCTTGTCTTGGCAGCCCCTCGTTGTGGTCGATTGTCTCTTTGACAATGAATTTATGGATGTGTCGGTCGAACCTATAACCAGATGGGTGTTGGCTTTGACACTTTCTGCCTTAATATACTTCATGCAGCTTTCACTCCATAGTTGTCTCGATTGCAACACAGCGTTCCACATTTCACCTCTTTTGGCAGACAACAAAGCCATCCTAAAATATGTTAATTTAACCAAAGCGGTTATTGGGAGGTTTCGTATGCCTTTGAATACCCCGTTCATGGATTCAATCAGATTTGTTGTTATGTGGCTCCATCGTTGTCCATTGTCGTATGACCTAGTCCATTTCTCAACCGGAATGTTATCGATCCACCTACCGGCATCCGAATTTGACAATCGGATCTTGTTGTGATAATATTTGAACATAGGTTGTGTCAATGCATACCCTACATTTATAACCGCTTTCTTAAGAGCTTTGTCTTTGATCTCCCTCGTGAAATTTTGGACAATATGTCTAATGCAATAGACATGCGTAGAAGGAGGGTCATGCCAACCGTTTGCAGGATTGTTGTATGCACTCTCAATAGATGCATGTCTATCAGAGATCAAATAGAGATCTAGTTGAGGAGCCACGTGTGTTCGGAGATTCTTGAGAAAGAAGATCCAAGCACCACCAGTCTCTCCCTCGACTAGGGAAAAAGCAATTGGGAAAATGTTGTTGTTGCCATCTTGTGCAACTGCCATCAGTAGTGTGCCTTTGTATTTCCCATACAACCAAGTCCCGTTAATTTGAATAATTGGTTTGCATGATGCAAACCCTGTGATGCAAGGTTAAAAAGCCTAGAACACTCGATTGGATATTCCATTTCCGGTGATTTGACTACCATCTGGGG